GAAGGAAATGAATGCTGCCTCTGCTGACATGCGAAGAGTAAGTGTTGGATAGACCTTTTGACCCTAAGAGGATGGGTAACTTGATTTGTTGACAGTCTGCTTGAAAGATTTGACTGCGGGTTTGCTAGGTAGATCTATACAGTGCTGGATGTATCGAGGTACAATGCACACGTGAATTTCACAAAGTAAGATTTGGTTAAAGAATGGTGTATATATGTTCCTTAATGTATAATTTCTAGTGTCATTTCTGTACTGTGCAGCATGTTACATGCTACGTATGCATGCCAGTGGCTGCTGCCGGTGCATGTGTGTTGGGTGCAGGTTTTGCTGCTTAATGAGTGGGGTTACAGGTGCATGGCAGCTTCTATTGCATTTGAGCCTGTAGGCTTGCGGAGGCTAATGGATGAGTGCTTACTATTCTGTCTTGCAAATTTATTGTTGGCTACTACGGATGCATCAAGAGCGAGGAATAACACAGGAGTGCGGCCACCCGATTCCGGCTTTTTACGATTTTTGCTTCATCGAAAAGTGTCCACCAATAAAGAAGGAAGTGTATACGGTCCTCAGCTTTATTGACCACTTAATCACTTCCCTTCATGGCATGATATTTGTTAAATTATTTGCTAGCGTATGTGCTGTAAATCTTTCTTGCAGGAGTGAATTCGATAATTTACCGAAAAAATGGCGACTTGTTGGAGTGTGTTTAGACATATTAGGAAGCTATCGTGGCGGCAATATTAGAAGGACGGTTTCAAATCATCGTGCCCCGATAGGGGTTGGAATGTATTGATTACCTGCGGCGCGCGTATGTGATACGTATGCAAACCTCTACAGGATATCTGTTAGTTATCTGGTATTAGTTAGCTTATGTGAACGGTAGTATGTCAATTTTTGGTGCTGCGAGTCCCAATAACTTGAGCCGCGGTCTCGCAGGTTCTTCACGAGATCAAAATTCGAATTTAGATTGTCTCGCAAGCCCTCTCCGTCGGGCACGCAGGATTTTGGAAAACTGTCCGTCTCTATGGATCATTGCGCGCAGCGGATAGCTTCTAATTTGTTATAAACCTCAACAAGTCGGCATTTTAGTTCACTTCTCCGGATAATTTATCGAATTCAGCTCGTGCGAAGAATCGATTTTACGCATACGCTAGCAATTAGTGTTAAGCAAAATATCGAGTGCATGAGGCTGAGTGTATTGTGGTCATAATAAGCTGAAGAACGTCAGTTACCTTCCGTTCTTTTAATGGTGGGCAAATTTTGATCAGAGAAAAGTCGGTTAAAAATGCCGAATCGTGCGCCATCTTGGGTGGATATGCTGCTGCTATGGTATGATGGGAGTTCATCTGTTAATCTGAAGACACTTAAACGTACGCGCCATCTGTGGACAACTGGTCTAACGATCCGACACGATATTCTTGGAAGGTTCCTGATTACTCCTGTGGCTGTCCACTGTTTCCGCAGTGTATGTGAACACATTTGGGACTAGAACAGGTTTATAGGAATCCACCACTCCACGAGTCCCGCAGTAGAAGTGTAGATGAGCGCTGTGCGCTTGCGGCATTGTTTGCTTACGGTTTACTATTTCTGTTTTGTTTCGCTCGCTAGGTGGCAGCACGAGTGGCTTAGTGTCAACGCAACGCTACTGGCGTTTAACATGGCAGCGTTTATTTTAATTTAAGTCGTTGTTGTTTGATCAGCTTCATTTAGGCACAAACAATTCGCGTTTATCTTCACGACTTTATGTGATCACGTTCTAAATGTGATCACTGTGTAGTTATTGCAAATAGTATTTTGTACGTTAACGTACCGCGTACTGTCGCTATATTGTAGTCTACGGCACAAACGGCAGCAGAACAACACTCTAAAAGTTAAAACTAAAGAAAAGCAAGGCTCATTCACACTGACTGTCAGCTGAGTTCGAAGTTGGTGTTAAACTGAAGACTGTCTCGCAATCGCAAGCAGAAAGTGTGTATTAAAAGATTATAAGAGAAATCGTGGAGACCTGGAGCAAACATGGAGAATCTGTATCTGAACCTTAGTGGCGTTCATGTGAAAGACTTTTCGCTTTGGGTCTTTTTGGTTCAAACAGCTGTAGAACCTGTCTTGTCACTTTAAGCCTGGCAGTTTACCCCAACGGGACGCATTGTTATGCGGAAGTTGTCGTTTTCTGTCGTTCTAGTCAACCCTCGCTATATAGTTTAAGCTCTTAGAGTCGACCCGAGCCGGCACGTGTCACACTTGACCAGCTCAAGTCAAGGGATAAGAGAGCATGTCCGTATAACATACATACTAAGTCCATACTGTCTCTGGACCCGTCGTCTCCTATCTAACACTTGACCGCTGCACCTGGTGTTCCCGTCGCGTGGGCAGACGTGTGGTATACGCATTTTTTGCTGTGATAGTCATGCCGCCGCATTGGCGCCTAAGCAAAACGTGCCTCCTCGCCTTATGGTGAGGGACGACATATAGCCCTGATTGCTGTTCTCTGATTGGCCACCCGGGGGCACTCATGTTTTATTGCCATGGTAGGTACTGCTGCGCGGCGGAGAGACTCCGTTTCAACCCTAAACTGCCGTTCAGCATCGCATTTTTATAATATTTGAATTTATTCTTGTTATGGAGCATCGCAAGTTGAGTTACCATGCCAGATTTACATTTTTTCCGTTCCGGAGACCCTAGTTTTTACATTATTTGTTCCAGGTGATCGTATTTCAGATTACGCTTGAGCGGGCGTGAGGCATATGCATGCACGATGCATAATGGCATGGGATGCAGGCTTCTCCCTAGTTAGCGCAAAGCGCGCGACGGCCCGCCCCTGTTTGCGGAAAATCCCCCGTTTCATCGTTGCGCACGTTTAAATTATTTCCGCCCAATTTAAAAAAAATAGTAACGTGATATCCTAGTTGTGGTCATAGTGTTATAGTGTGTTATATAGTAGTACTGTTGGTAATAGTAGTTATATATAACTATATATATGTTGTTGTATGATAGTCAATAGATGCGTGGTGTTGTAGCTGCAGGTGCGGACTGTTGCTTGCTGCCAGTGATTCGACAGGCCCAGGACCCCCTAGTTTCCCTTCCCTCCCTCTCCCCTCCATTCCCCTCGTCTCCTCCTCCCCTCCCTGTATTCTTTTCAATTTCATCCTGGGGAGAACCCTGGGATGGATGGCAAAAGCTCTTAATAGAGAATCTCTATATATAGATAGATAGTCTCTATTATGAGCTCTTGATGGATGGTCAGCTGATGGATGGTCAGCTGCTGCTGCTGTTCTTGTTTTCGACCCCCATTTTCGAACATAGCCGGTTCCAGAGCATCCCACATTCAACAAACATTAGTTCCAGAGACCCCCATTTTCAGGTATGAGTTAGTTCCAGAGCCCCCATTTTTGACTTTGCAGTTGCACATATACATACCGTAATGTGAGGTGAGTGCCCCCCCACCCCCCGGGTTGGCCACTTGGCAAAAAAAACGTCCAACTCGCCTACTCCGAGTTGGGAAAATTAGAACATACATGTTCTAATCTTCCAACTCGCTGCTATCGATCAGTCGGACGTCTGATTTTTGCGTTTACACTGCCGACTGTCAGCTGCCAAATTGCCAAGTTCGTACAATTCGGCAATTCGGCAACTCAAAATCGTTAGTGAAAACCCAGCTTTACTTAAGTTACTGTGACTTAGTCTTGTGTTGTTGAGTTGGAATTTGACATATCTTATTTTAGTACGCTATACCAGGTCGCGTGGTGTGCACGTTACACTTAAAATGAATTGTATATACTAGTACTGTACGTATTAACTTCGCGGCACGGAAACTCCGATTATGAAAATTCATCCATACAGAATTTGTAAATGATGTGTTGTGTATGTTAACTAGCACTCAGAGTTGTGTTTGTGTTATGAGAGACCACATCATGATTACTTAGAAACCTACTTCTTTTGCCCTTTAAATTTTTCGGTAAACTCCTAGTTTAGCACTCTGGATTAGTTTAGCAGATATGCAAACTATATACCAGGGTCCCAAACTAGGATTGAGCAAAATTTTCTGTAGTGGTGCTTTTCTTATTGTGAAATAAAAAATCAACTGGAAAACATTATTCACATTAAGTAATTTTGCGTTATGAACATTTTGTTTGAAACAGAATACTTCGATCATTAATGTGAGATATTAGTGTTTTAGATAGTAGTCGATATTGGACATTATTTTGATTATAGACCTATATATAATTGGTAAATAATCATTGTGACTCATCAACTTACCAACAGTTCACAATGGGTAACAGCTTGTACAAGTCAGGAAAATGTGCTTGAAATTGGTTTCCTTACTGTAGGTAAAGGCCACCATTATTGACCCAGAGAATCACTTTGGTCTAGAGAAAACCCTATCCAAAGAGGATGTTTTAACGCTGATTAAAGTTTGCGTATCAAAGCTGCTCGACAAAAAATCGCCGGCATTGGACACGGTGAAGATGCAAGTCTACCACGATCTTAACTATACGACGAGAAGCGAGTATTTTACTATGATTCTTACGTCAATTTCATCCATCGATAATCCACCCTAATTCCAACCTAGGTGCCTGCAATTAACCACACATTGCCAAATCATTTGCCGCTCACGTCTCGTAGCCACGTCTATCTGATTTAATTCTTGATTCTATCTGCATCCGTGTCATCGCAGGCGAACTGCTTGAGGAACACATCGTGGCGTTTGAGCTGCGTCTGCAACCGATCGTACGCGAGGTGACGGACAGCCGGGCGCGTAACCGCGACGAGCTAGAGCTGCTCTACAGGAAGGTCGTGTCGTGCATCCTGCTTCGCTCCGGCCTCGGAAGTCCCACCGAAATCACCATCGTCAGAGAGGCCACAGGTCGGCGCGTCTTCCATGTTTTCTTTGACGTCTATTTTTGCATGTGTTTGTGTGTGTGTGTGTGTGCGTGCGTGCGTGCGTGCGTGCGTGCGCGCATGTGTGTATGTAAAACCCCAAACGATTGTGTATTATAATTACACTGGCATTTCAAGTTGACCTTACGTAGTAACACTCTCTTATTGTCGTGTACAAATGTCCGTATCTTAAATTTTATTGGGAGCTCCGATACGCCTTCACTTTTTTGTTACGGTTTACTATTTCTGTTTTGTTTCACCTCGCTAGGTGGCAGCACGATCTTAGTCTCCACGCAACGCTACTGGCGTTTAAACATGGCAGCAGTTTATTTATAATTTACATGTTGTTGTTGATCAGCTTCACTTCAGGCACACCAATTCGCGTTTATCTTCAGTATTTATGCGCTCACGTCTAATTGATCACATGTGTAGTTAATGGCAAAATAGTATTTTGTCACGTATAACGTACTGTCGCTTATTTTTAGTCTACGCGCAAAACGGACGCAGAACAAAATTAAAGGTTAAAACTAAAAAAAAGCCAAGGCTCATTCACACTGACTGTCACTGAAGTTCGAAGTTGTTGTTAAACTTGAAGATGTCTCAGCAATCTCAAGCAGAAAGTGTGATTAAAAACATTATAAGAGAAATCGTGGAGACCTGTAGCAAACATGGAGAATCTGTATCTGAAACCTTAGTGGCGTTCATGGTGAGAACTTTTTCGCTTTGGGTCTTTTTTGGGTTCAAACAGCTGTAGACCTGTCTTGTCACTTAAAGCTGGGTTTACACTGTGCGTGCGTGCGTGCGTGCGTGCGTGCGTGTGTGTGCGCGCATGGGTGTGCTGTGTGTGTAGTGTATGTTGGTGTGTGCGCACGCATGCATGCCTGCGTGCGGGCAAACATTAATTATTTGGTATAATGAAATCCTTGCCTGTGGACATCCTTTCACTGAGTGATGTACGATATGTAGAGCTCTGCTATAAGACTTCTTTTAAAAAAATCGGATATTACTTGTATGTTTCTGAATAGTTTGTCTTGCTTATTGTGCCATGTTGTACAATTGGTATTTCAAAAGAAAATTGAAGTTATAACTTTGTTCCTGCTCTTCTCTTGTTATAGCTGCATTGCAGAGCATATTTCCTCAGAATGAGCTAGGAACATTCCTAGCTTTGAAGAAACGTGATAAGGAGACACAGCTGCAAGAGTTCACAAGAATAGTGACAGGAATACGTCTTTTCAACAGGGACTGTGGCAAGGGCGGTTTCGGGATAGATGATTGTAGGTGTAGTTATCAGTATCTTAACATTTAATAGACTAACAATAGTTTTACATGTGAGGTCATCATTCAGTGCAAAGTACACGGTTTAGTTTCTTGCTTTTCCCTTAGTTTGATAATACTTGCCTGTTAACAAAATAATCAGCGCAAAAACATGCTTAACCTGCTACAAATATGCCTTACTTAGTACTTACTCACTCGTTGCACCTGCCGTGAACTTTTGCAATCCTTTTATAACAACAATCGGATGTGTACGTGTGAATTTTCTGTAATTGTTTAATAACAACAAGCATATCAATATTTACATTTAGCCCTAGGTACTGTTCGGATGGGATGGTTAGACTTTAATATTGTATATATACATTACAATGCAGCGGGTGTATGTCTGTAAAGCCACTGGTTATTTAAAAATTTGTCGTTATTTTTCGCAGTACCAACCATACTGAAGGAAGCGATATCGGCCACTCTGCAGAGCATAGAGGAGAGCCGGAAGCATGTGGTCGAGAAAGCCAACTGCTATACGGGTGAGTTAGTTAATAGTTCCTACCTAATGTTACGGAAGTGATGCGCACCGGGCGAAACGCTTGCGGTGACAAATTCTGTAACGTGAATCACAATTTCTTATTGATTTCTAACATATAAAGTGTTTCTATGTAAAATTATTTTGTGAAAAGAAGTATGTAATTTCTTAATCTCTCTTAATGCAAGTGTAATTATTAATTCACATGCATTGGCAGACATATATTAATTATTTAATGATGTAACATAGCAACGCGATAAGACTGGAAGGGAAAGGAAGTTCAGAAAAGAAAAAATCCACATTCTTATTATAACGCATGTTATTACTGTAATATAAACCACAACCTGATTTCAGAAATAGCGTAAAAATAAGTTGCAATCCATTAGCGTGCAGGGTTTTAGGTACAGGTAGATAATAATTAAGTCTCAAGTTATTCTTCAGCAGAGCTTAAAATCGTGAGGAAAGCCCAGATTTGTATTTAATTATAGGTGGGTCATATTATGCTTGCAAGAGATTTTTTTTTAATTTACAATCCATGCACAAAATAGATTATATATTTAAGGTGTTACAAACATTTCCACACGTCCTTGTGCATACATGCTTTTCCTGTATTTCTCATTCTTTGTCACATCATGTAGCTATTTTGGAGAAATGCCAAAGCGAGAATCCGATAAATGGTTGTGACACAGTCGATTGCAATCTCCTCACTGCAGCCATGTACAATGCAAGACAATACGAAGCATTCATCACTTGCACTCAGGTATAGCAACCGAGGTTTACACGTACACTTGTGATGTAGATAGCAGACTGGATTAATTTATGCCCCCACATAAACGATCGAAGCCTTCACTTCACAAATACAGTTGTCTTTATTTTCTTTTGATGTATTGTCCAGATGCTGTGATTTGGCAGTTTGCACAGCACATATATATATATACTTGTAAAGTATGTGAGTCGATCTTTATTGTTATGGATGTGTCTTCTTTTTAATTGAACTGTTTTAAAATAAGAGTCTGCATGGTGACTTAATAGGAAGACATGGTCACCAGCAAGGAGCAGGTGGACAAATTGCTGCAGCATTACTCTAACGCCATCCAGCAGTTGCACAATACCGTGCAGGGTCGATCGGCCGTGCCCACTGCTGCTGTTTACGTGAGTGGGCAGATGTTACTTCAACTTCATCCCTAGAAAATTCTGCGGTGACTTTGACACTGCATCGTAAAATATTGCATGTGTTTACAGATTAAATACGATATTTATCCAGATACACAATAAAGTCACCCAGTCCATGTTGCATCACATGTTTAGCCTCTTTGGGTTCTTTTGATTATTCAGTAGCGATACAGAAATAATGTCTAACACTAGGTGAACAGGTGCGATTCAGTGACCTTACGTGTGTTCACGTTGGCAGTATTTCGTTTCTACATTGTCAGTTTTGTTGCATACATTTCATAATCGCACTATTTTTCAGCCGTTGTTTATAGAGCTGTCACAAGCTTGGACAGGCTTTCAGAATGAGATGGTCGTCATGGGAGTGCTCACAAACATCTACCAAAATCTGTTGCAGTTTATCGAGGCGAGTGAAGTTGGGCAGATGGGGAGAAATAAATAGAGAGTATGTGTATTTATTGTATATTAATGGTATGAGAAATTTAGAGTGCACAAACAGAATATGAATTACATTATCATGTCTTTACAAAATAAAGTGTTAACTTGTTGAAATTCACATTGTTCATAAAATTACCAATATAGGAAATATACTTTATGATAAAAATGTTAGACAGTTCAAAACGAAATCAGCAGTATATGACATGGTTGTCAATTACAACCACAGGCAGTCTGACATGCCAGTGACATTACTGATAACATATAGTTATGATAATAATGACATTGATTATAATATAATATTTCAGTGTCACGAGGACCTGATACCACAAGAAGACATTTCGCGGGTGTTGGAAGGGGAGGTTGTGCATAGCAATGAGGAGAGGAGGAAGCTGGCTTTATCTAAGGGAAAGGTCGTCCCTCATGACTTTCCCACCATGGATTTCGTCTTTCCCAACTCCGTTAACAACTTCGAACAATTTGACATTCAGTACAAGGTAACGCTTTGTGACGACTCACTCTGCTCGCAAGCAAACTGCTGTTTCAAAATAAAACTGGTTATAGCATCACAATTTCAGGATTTGGTCACCGTGGGCCATCATGTGCATACCTAGATTTCATAAGGTGGCATATGCACCACCATATCAATTATTATATGCTAGTTTATTTTTACAATTTATGTGTTGCATTGGATTGTCTAACCTTCTGCGAAAAAAACCACCTTTGACTCATTTTAAAATGGTTTAACGATACGATATGAAGTGAAATAATACATGGGTCTATATTATTAAACTCCTGATAATATGCATGCACTGTTGTCTTTTTGTGACTTTTTGTTGAATTGTTTAGGGCTACTGCGGTTGGGCTTTGGTGAAATTCGAGGGTTTGCTACTGCCTGGAAACCCTGACATAGGTGTTCTAAACTACAACAACAACTTCTACACGTTTTGTTCTAAAGAGGCAGCTTACGAATTCTCACAGGATCCTCCAATGTAAGTCTCACCCTTTCGTCCTAGTTTTCACCTTACCATTACACGTCTGCTAGATTTGTGCCTGTAGATCCAGTCTTGGTTGACAGATTGTCTCATTATACCTATATGCAATATCCATATATATGCGATTGTATGCCTATCACCTTTGACTTCCTTTTTGTCGTATAGGTACATTACACATGTTGGAGACTTGGCTAGGAAGCATCCAGAGTTGATACAGTTGCTGGAGCTTCATAGCCAGTTTGCAACAATCACACCTAGAATGCAGGTAAAATATCCTAATACACATAAATATGACAGTATAATGAATTATATCACTCGCAGCAGTAATGGCAGCTAGTGCTGACAGATCGAGCTATACAAAATAGTGTGATTAGTAGTGCTTGAATAAATGCAATAATCGCTCCTGTGAATGCATGTGCAGAATGTGTGTGAAATGAATGCAGAATGTCTGTGCATGTGTCTGTGCAGAATGTCTGTGAATGGATATATACGTGTTGTCTGGTTATTGTTATATCTAACGTTTTGCATGTTAGCTAAAATAACAATATATTGCAAGTATATCATAAAGTGTATATAAAGGGCATATGGTTGAAATTCAAAGGAATCTTCGCAATTCAATGAGAATTCAATTTCAAATTCAAATTTAAATTCAAAATTCAAAATTTCAAAAAATTCAAATTCAAATTCAATGAGAATTTCGTGGTGATGGAGATGAGGGAAGCAATGACTATAAGGTGTAGAGATTTTCACGTCGGTGACCAGGTCAGGTCGCCCTCCATTAACAAACCGGTCGCCAGGTCTGACGGTGGCACGCAGACGGACACGCACATCCAGGAAGCATACACTGACCCTCTCTACCAGTGGAACGAGTGGGAGCTGAGGCGTAAAGCAATGAAACTGGTACACGGCTTACAACGTTATATGATATAGTCACATGAGCGGCATGCTGACAGAGTGATGTGGGATATGCTCTCCTACTGATGCAAAACTACTGACAATTTAATCCATGTGCTTTGTGGTGACGTATTTATAAAGCTTCACCAAGGTCTAGAACCAGTGTCAGCTGGGTATATGTATGAGTCATTCTCTTGCTTATCTATCATTAAACAGCTATATAAATCTGATTATGCAAGAGCACTGCACATGATCTGACTCACCTAATTGCTTTTTGACATTAATCGTTAATCTTCATAAATTTCTATTGCATTTTTTTGCTTCCAATCGCCTTTGTGTCTCAAGGGCAGACATGACAACATGACCATATGCAACAGATGCCTATATAAATTGCCAAGTCAATCGGTGATAACTACAGAACTTTTTTGATGTTATTTAGGCAAACCTGAGGACCAAGGTTACACATTCGACACAGACGGTGCTCAGCCACATGAAACGTGACAATGCAACCCAGGTTTACTTGCCCAGGTGATTTTATTCTCAGTCATTGAATTCGATTACATCTTAGTCCAGAGATACTGTACAAACCGTGAAGTTGTCAGTAAATAGCACTAGATATTAATGTGAACAAGGTCATCTGAAAGAAGTAAAAGGCTATCTTTTTGCATTCGGGATAGATGATCATATGACAAAGACTCATACCATGACTTCTATCATCACAATCACACCTGCATATGATGACTCATTAAAGCATAAATGCTGGGAGCTTAATTACAAAAGATGAGACTGCTATCAGGGGTAGAAATAAGGAGAAAAAAAGAGATGGTCCACAGGACCATGTAGTTTGAAATTTAGATGGTACTCTTAAATTTTAGATGGTCCTCCTAAATTTTAAGTTGTTCTCTAAAAGTAATGCGGCGTGCAAGTGTAAGAAAGAGGTTTACATGGTGATAAAATGGTTTAATTATTCACCTACAATGAATGTATCAAATGATACGGTAATTGTTTATTCACTTTAATAGTATATTGGTTAATAAAGTTGTTTCAGTAGAATTTACTTATACCTAGAACCCATTAAACCGGAATATATATATAGTATATGTCTCAAATATTTCTTAGAAGCACATTCATTCATTTAATACAGTTAACATTCCTTCAGTCAAGCAGTTCAAAATATTCAGTGGTTCGTCGGACCATTGACTTTGAAAATCTAATGGTCCTCCTGATTATTTGATGGCCCCGGACCATCAGACCATCGCTTATTTCGACCCCTGGCTATAAACTTCATGGTTCCTCGTGTCCGCCAATAAAAGGCATCCGCCACTAATAACTGTGGCATAATCGTATTGTGCACGGCTATAACTGCTACCTTTGTGACACCATCCCAATTATCTCTAGAGAAATACCATTCGTTTAAAGAAGCCATACTTAGTGGTTGCTGACTCGATGATCTATTTGATTCAACGTGCCCGGCAGAGAAGGCACGTGGTCGCCGCGAAAGCACATAACTTACGAGTCTTTTTCCCCCGACTTCGACAGAGATGGCGCGTCTCAGACGAAGGAGGATGCTGCGACCAGCGTGCCCTGCCCTCACACGTTCGTCGCCGGCCTGCGCGGGGGAGGCACCCACAAGTCGCAGCCCACAGTGATGACCAAGGTGGACCTCACCCTAGATATCGAGCAGGTGCTCAGCTGAGAGGGGGAGGCAGATGAGACGATGCTCACTCCTGGCTAGAGCGATTAAAGATGTGCTGTATAAGCTCTAGAGGGGACGCCAGGGTAGAATGCTGCTAAACAGAAGATTGTTTAGAGGTTGGTTGGCTCCTTGTTTATGAAGACAGGCTACGAGATTGCTGATGATAGATTCACTTGACCATCATTGCAATTATGCTATCTTAACATGTTTTTGAATTTATATTGGGGTGCTCGTGAGCCTGTCCAGAAATGATTGACGAATAAACCTATATATACCCTGATATAACAGTAACACATGCAATTACTGTGAGAATTATTAATGAGTGGTTGACACATGTCAAACATTAACATCACAAACTATCACCACGCATCATCTATTGTATTACAAATGTCTGTAAGAACAAATATCTGTTATAACGTGAAATTATTTATTGGTTATAGTGTTGTCAAAGTACATGCAGTAACTTTTATTTTAATATATTCATCCCATAAATCTGAGATTTTGTTGTTGTGTATGTGTATTGACTCTCAATGTGTTTTTTCTTTGTTTGAACCTCTTGATATATGTTGCATATGAATGATGTTTGAAAGCAAAACTTAAAGGTATAAGCCTATAGCTATATCTGATTTCTGGCTCATCTTTCCTAGATGCATGGAGCTTTGATTGGCTTTAGCTCTGTCGTACATAATGTATGTCCAATAGCCATAGGGTGTCCAATCCATCCAGAATTCCTATAAAGACCTGAAAATTTCTCTACACATCAAAAAGACATAGGGGGAGGGGATAAAACAAGCTCAAAAAAACGAATGGGTATATCATACTGCACCCAAACTGCAGTTGTACCATGCTGTTGGTAAGTTGTGACAAACGTGTGTTGTGGGGTATTCGGTGATTTCATCAAAAGATCATGAGATTGTAACGACACATGTTGCTTTGTAAGCACACACTACCAAAAACCACAGGATGATGTGTTTCTTTCCCTATATGATTACTCTATTTATACCTAATCTTTTCTACCTCATTGGTTATCTGTACACACTTCATTTACTCTGTCTGTCTACAACTACTCTTCTAGTCTTAACGGTAAAATGCACACATGAAATAATCTCCAATCTAATGTGGTTGGGATTTTTCTTATCAGATACATGGTAGCTATTTTCATTGCCCATGGTTACACAAATAATTGACATGGAACATATATGACTACATATAAGCAACGTTACTATCTCGGCTTGATTGTTGATATTTAAACTAGAGACTCTATAAGATTTCACTAATAATATATAATAGTGAAGTATTTTATTAAAAGTATAAGCTATACGGTTTTTATAAGCTATTGTATCCGTGAGGTGGCGCTGTCGAGCATAAACTGATTTTCTTTCCAAGTTGGTTTGATCATCTATGTTTTGATGTAAAATTTATAGCAGGTCGTGTTTTCGAATGCAGCGCCCTTGTTTATGTTTATTATTACTTTTGATTACGCATTACCTTTGTAAACTTGTGTTTTGTATGGAAGTCTCGCCCATGCCATGTTAACGTCGTGAGGTTAACGTCGACGCTGATATCTACGACATCTACGGCAGTGTTGTCACGGAAGGCGAAAAGTCGGCGGCTCAGCAACGGCGCGCCGCAACATTGCCAACAACTACAACTACAAGCGCTGTTGTTCTTTACGAACCCGTCAGTTTAGTTAAGCAATTCCACGAAAAAACTCAGAATTTGAAATTTGCGGGACGCGATATCGTATTGTCACAAGATTGGAACAATTATGGCGTAGCTGCAGTTGTTTGGGAAGCAGTAAGTAAAGCTGATACTGATACTGATACTGATAGGGTACTGCCGGAACGTACCCTGGGTACGGTCCGGTATACCAGAACGTACCCTGGTACTAAATACTACTATCTAATATGTCGGACCGTACCTCGCCTACTCCACTAACGAGTCTAGGGAGTCGCCTACGCCTACTCCCTATTAAACCCTAACTCTAACCCTAACCCTAACAATAACTCTAACCATATCAGCTAGATAGTTACCAGGGTACGTTCCGGCAGTACCCTGGGGGACATAGACCCTATCAGCGTAAGTAAAAGCTAACATCCGGAGTGCCTATCCGGACACAGGCACTTGAAGCGTTTCAACTGTAAACACACGCCGCCGCCATTGCGCGCACACTGACACATAACTATATATTTATGCGTCAGTGTGCGCGCAATGGCGGCGGCGTGTGTTTACAGTTGAAACGCTTCAAGTGCCTGTGTATCCGGAGTGCACCTAGCCACTGGCTGCCTGGCAGCAAGAATAAGCCCGCACGTACAGCACACACGCGGTCATTGACTATTATAACAACAACATAACAACAATATATGTTGTTATAATAGTCAATGGCCGCGTGTGTGCTGTACGTGCGGACACAGGCACTTAATTTGGAACGTCTCAATAAAAAAAGGTAAATAAACACGAAATGTACCAGTCTTAATGTTTCTCTACTCTATTTCGCCTATAATCACCTGTAAATGCCAGTCAAATGCTCATCTGCAACACACAAGTACACCGCACGCCCACCCGCGCTGTGCTGCGTGCACAAACAACATGAATAAGAGAGTCTCTACTCATTCTCATTCATGTTGTTTGTGCACGCAACACAGCGCGGACGGGCGTGCGGTGAAATTCTCTCTCTCTCTCTCTCCCTCTCTCTCACGCACACTCGGCAATCAGCAGAGCGTCCCGTTGCGCAATCATGCGTGTAGGTGTCGCAAGACCACTTTGTCAGATCATAGATATACACAACGCATGTGTATATCTATGGTGAGATGGATGTCCGGACGCGTATAGCCTAGCGGCTCCTCGTCTGGAACCGGTCGCGTAGCCACAGCCTTATTAATAACGCAATCGTTAATTGTAACTCTGCGTATCTCGCATGTTTTTATAATATTTAACACGTTCACATTCATGCTATTTGCTCTGCCACAGCCGAGGGCTGCGTATGGGCAATTTATGCTGGGTACCATACAGTAACGCATCCGTGATTCTTGCATATCTCTTATCTTCCCACGCCTGTATGAGAGAGCTGCTACTTGTTTGTATAAAAGCTGCGATAACGTCAATCTATAAAAATAAATATTGCATATAATGCAGAAATATCTCAAACAGTGTAGTACATGTTTCCAACTCAAGTTATGTCAGTATGTTGTTTATCTTTATCACTCCATGCAGGCCATTGTTCTGAGTGAATACCTACAAAACCTGCAGGAGTTGGTCAGAAACAAGAACGTGATAGAACTGGGAGCCGGAACTGGACTTGTTGGTATCGTTGCTGCCTTGCTTGGTGAGAGTAAATGGGTGCTTGGCACTTTCGCTCAAAGGATATATAAATGTGTTATAATGAGAACATATGTATATCTCATGAAATGTACATATTTTAATGATAATAGGCATTAACAGCTGTACTGTGATTGTACAGATCAACCACTTCAGTTCCTGTATGGCGCAGTGTGTTAAAAAATTGGTGGTTTATCGATTTAATATTAATATAGCTGGTATGCAAGATATTATAAGGACACCCCTGTCAATTAATTTCTCGCCCATTTTACAGGAGGAAAAGTCACCATCACAGACAGAGAACTAGTCCTGCCATCGCTCCGGCACAACGTCGACTCGAACTTGGAGCAGACGGAGTATCTGCAGAACGTCTCCGTCAGGGGATTAGATTGGGGGAAGGACCTCGAACAGTTCGCGAAGTACGACGTTGTCCTGGGAGCGGATATCGTCTACATCGAAGATTCGTTTGACGCGCTGCTGGCGACGATAAACCGTCTCACGTCCGACGATTCCGTCGTCCTTCTCGCTTGCAAAATTCGCTACGACAGAGACGTCAGGTTCCTGAACATGCTTCGCGTTGACTACATCGTGCACGAAGTGTTACACGACCCAGCGAAAAACATCAAGATATTCGAAGCTGTGAGAAAACAATAATTCCGCCGTAACCGATCCACGCATAGCTGATCCCTAGCGGAGATCACGCATAGCTCGCGAGTAATCATGGCGTTCAGCGTGGGACCGAGTCTGCGGGAGCAGGCGAAATCGACAAACTCGCTCCTGTGCCTGCTGCAGGCGCTCACCACCAGGGTGACGACGGTCGAGCTGCGCAACGAGAGTTCCGCCAGGGGGCGCATCGTCAACGTCGACGGCTTCATGAACGTGCAGATGGGCGACGTGACCTTCACGACGGCGCGCGGCGAGACGCGCCTCTTCGAGTATTTCTACGTGCAGGGCAAGCAGGTGCGCTTCGTCCACATCCCCGACAACGTCGACATCATCAAGGCCATAGAGGGCCAGCTGAGAGGCTTAGGGAAAACCCGCGCGCCCGCGTTCAGGGCCGTCGCCAAAATGCCCAAGAGAAAGGCGAAGCCTGGCAGGGGACGCGCGATTGCCACTGCGAGGCCATCCAACTCGGTCGTGGCATCCGTGCCGGGGCCACCGAAGAACATGTAAAGTTTGCTAGGGGTTCCCTGTGATATTTACTGTATTAGCAGGTCGCACAGTTCAGTGTTGTGGAGAGGCTCGATCTTCAACTTCATACCGTGTGATTATACGTAGAAAATTTAGTGTTGAAGTTAGTAAAACCGTTATTAGACTCATTTTGGCGATTTGTGTTAATACCAAATAGTTGTATATTCACTTTAATATCTTCAGACTTTATTTTCCAGTTATTATTTGTACGTTGATATTACAAAGTTACGCTCGTGCCTTTCCGCTAACATGTAGTTATTTTTGCAGTAAATCAATAAAAATCAAATAACTACACTTTACCTACATGCTAAATCATGTTCATATTTGAATATTTTTGTCGTAAAACTGCCAGTGACCAAGGTGATTTCAAAGCTGTATAGATCGTGCCAGTGTTTGGAGCATGAGTATGAAAAATTGAAATTAATTGTTGTTCTGTCATAATTTTTATTACCTATTTGATCAAACTTACCCTAGATAATATATTCATATGAGAAATAAACAACTATTTCAAATAACAAATAACCCAAGTTACAAACCACTTCAGCTGCAATAGGCTAGTCTGTCGCCGCCAGTTAAAACCGTGGCAGCTGGTGTAAGTACGCTTACGTCTACAACTGTTGCCATTAGATTATAGTGTTGCTTTTAATCATGGCTTCAATTATCTGGTCACGATGTTAAGCAGTAGCTAGCTACCGCATAGTGTGGAACGTATAGTTGCTTTGCTGCCCTCTAGGTGGAGCCATGTTCCTGTCGGCTGAATGCACGCTCTGCACAGCAGGGGGAAACGTGGCACGACGAGCTTTCCTGAAGGCTGCAAGCTCTCCTCTCAACTGTGTCACCATCTGACTGCATGTAAACATTGCCTTTTGGTTAATTCATTTTAAAACGATTAATTATTAACTTTATAAAAAAACGGTCAAAAATAAAAGATAATTTTTGTCATATCACTCCCATGTGAAGTTTTACAAAAAATCTGAGAAACCTCGTTGAAAATAACTGTTACATATATGCCTATGAAGCTTACCTATTTGAATAACCCTAGATATAAATTAATTGATCGCGATTACTTCATAGGTTATCAATAACTTATTCGATCTAGTTTCGTTTACTTGCACGACATACTCAGTTTGCATGAGCTTACTTTATGCTGTGAAGTTCGTTGATGATTGTGTGTAGCTGTGAGCTCCCCTGATCAACTGCAACCTGGGGAACCGTAGACACCAGTGTCTCACATGGCATCTGGCTGTGGATAACAGCAGGACCGGGTGTCTCAGACCACCCACTTGCTCCTGCTGCTGCATATGTGGATGTAACTGGGGAAAACATTCGTATTTTCATCAATTTACTCCTGTTGTAACATGTCTACTCAAAATATTGCTACATGACAGCTTAGAGTAAGTTAAATCTTTGACACTGTTTTCTGTATCTTGTAGTGCCTGAAGTCTGAATATGGAAACATGTTATCATACACCTGACTGAATAATTGCTAAATCACAAACATCTATATATATACAATGAAGAAAGGAATGAGGTGGAATGATATAAATACCCGCATCACTGGAACCAGTAAAGGTTACATGTAACATACTCTTCTTCTTAGATGGAGAGCCATCCTCTAGCCTGCAATATAAAGTGGAATGCTATGGAGGAAGATCATATAATGAAACTATGTGGAACATCGCATGAAAATCATCTTGCGCAAATATTTTCATATGAACCTAACTACATAGGTACTATTCTACATATTTACTACTATAGTAATGTACTAGTAAACTAGTAAAGTAGTAGTAGTAGTATACTAGTAAAGTATAGTATGGTACTATACTATACAACGTATTTGCTTGACAGTATTTTTGTCTTATTAGAAATCAGGTGTCTCCGGGCAATGCACCGTTGTAATCATAAGTATGTGTGCAGGTTGATTTTACACCTGGTGCTATCATGTTCAATGTAATCCTGAACTGCCTCCCACAGCTGGGAATCTGACACGTCTGCAAATTCTTCTTCTGTAATAGAAGTCTTCTCTTTCTCTTGGTCATTATACTCCATCTCCTCTGGCTCCTCTTCTTTGCTCTGCTCTTTAACCCCTTCTCTCAAATTTATCTAAACAGAGAACAAAACAGCCTGAAGCTTGATCAGGATGACAATCCTACAATTATTCTGTTACTTATTTTCTGCTATATCATTCTAGGTAATAGGTTTACTAAGATCCCATTTATATCAGTAGGCTCTTGCTATTACGTGAATTTGAAAAAAACATCTCTCTTACGCATTAACAAGATGACAATTTAAAATCGACATAGTTTAAATATATATGTGAATAAAATGTGAATAATCTTTTTCCATGTAAAATAAATTTGTTCACCTCTTGCTTGGGGTTTTCAGAAACTGGCTGGGTGTAAATAGTGCCAACTGCCAGCCTGGCTTTTGGATCCTCAATGCTTACCGCACCTGTTATAGGGGTGCCTGTCTCAAGCAAACCATTTGATAAATTTTTTATAGTCCATATACTTTACACAATTGATGCAACTATTATTTAGGAGATTCATAATATTATTATTCAAGTTTTCAGGGGCAAATAAAAAACAAAAACATTTGTTATTCACTACAGGTGTTTTACATAAATCAATTTGCATCGGGAATGAGGTGAGCAATTGCAGGAGTGTTAATCAATAAATATATTAATAATAAATACCTTCCGTTACTATAATGAGGATTTTGTCACTTTTACATTTCACTGTATAGTTTACATACTTGAGATAGGTGTAGGGGGCTCAGAGTTCGTGGAAGGAATGCATTTTATGGTGGACGGTTTCTTGTCATGTTCATCACTGAGAGCAAACCCGTTTCCTTCTATTCTTGCCATTCCTTCATCACTGGGTTCATCTATTGGTGTTATATCATGAGGGCTTGGTAGAGGGGAGTATGAAGGCTCATGGAAACTGGTGAGTAACTGAGGAGCCTGAGACAGCGAGTCTTCGTGCAAAACAAATCGCAACTCGGTCTCAGGAATCTGAGACATGGATCCTCTGCATGAGAGGTGTGGCAACTCGGGCTCGGTAATCAGAGATCCGGAGTCTCTGTGTGAGACAACTGGAGGCTCAGTCTCAGCAATCTGAGGAAGTGAGTCTTTCAGTGGGACAACTGACAACTCTGTCTCGTGAACCTGAGACATTGATTCTCCACATGAGAGGAGTGAAGCCTCAGTCGTGGGAATTCGAGACATAAAGCCTCTGCATAAAATAACTGTAGGCTCACTCTCAGGAACGTGAGACAGAGCGGTTCGCTGTGAGACAACTGCCACTGGCACAGCATCAGTAATATGAGGCGTAGAAATCTCGTGCGTGGCAGGTGTAAGCTCAGCCTCAGTAATCGTAGACATACATTCCATGTGCGAGACAACTGGCAGTTTTACCGCGGCTGAGACCTGTGAGGATGTGCAGCTTGCTTCGATAGACTTCTCGCGTAGATCAGTAGTTTTTACATTACTGTTATTATCAGTGGTTGTGCTTGCCTCCTCGATCTCTGTCTCCTTGGCGATCGCTGTCTTCTTGGTGATCGCTGTCTTCTCTGTGACCTCTGTCTTCTCGGTGACCTCTGTGTTCTCGGTGACCTGCGTCTTCTCGGTGACCTCTGTCTTCTTGGTGACCTCTGCCTTCTCTGTGACCTCTGTCTCCTCACGAGCTTCACATTTCTTCTGCAGATCACACCTGTTCTCGTTCGTGGCAATAGTTTCCATGCAGGCAAAGTAGCTTGTGTCCATGTGTGTGTTTCCATGGCAACTCAGTTTATCCTTTGCAGGCTCTGGGCATGCACTGTTCTTCTGTTCTGTGTTGGTTGTTGGTATAATGTTTTCTTCTTCAGCTACCTGTGCATAGCTGTAGTTGCAATAATTCACAGACAATGCAATTTCATATACAATTATGCAAGTTTTAATTACGTACTGCACACAGCATGACTCTGTGGAGTGAAACAAACTTTCTCAACAAACATTCATGTTTTCTGAGCAACTTATACACATACACGAATTGGTTCCATTTCAAGCTATACATTTATAAGTAACTGTAATTATATCTATATTATATAGAATTAATATTAGATTACCTGTGAATCATTTGAGTTCACTGGAGATAAAAACTTTTTCTTCTTACCAAACTTTGGCACAAACTTGGCTGCAGCCTGGACATAAAACAAACAAAAATCGACAAGTGTGAACCAAGTTAGCTGAAACTTGTAATATTCATCTTAGGTACTTCTATGGTATGGCTAACAGTTCCACATTATATTTATGACAAAGAAGTTGGGCATTGTGGTACTATCTATATCAAAGGATTAGACAACAACTATTTTACTGCTTGCCACAATTTCAAAGCATAAATGTACATGGATACAACAAGTTAGATTGTCTCTACTTTCAATATATATATATATATATATATGAACTACCGTATATGATCGCGTAATAACCGCGGGCGCCTATAAGCCGCACCTCAATTTGAATCGGGTAACCAAGTATTGCGTCTAGTTCAGGTATAAACCGCACGCATAGTTTTGTTTCTCTTTTATACAGATTCGTAAGCAGATTATGAGCACATCATGACATGTTTGAAGAGTCCTTATACAAATTCAAAAATATTTCAATCATAGTTAATACTACATTATCAACACATTTAGGCAAACACGATTTATGCATTTATTTAATGAACGTTAGATTCACCCATTATCGCCCCCGTGAGTGACAAGGCTCAGCAACAATCGATGAACAAATATTTCCCCTCACGGTATGGCGCACTTATAAACCGCAGAGCAAATACAGGGTTGTAATCTGAGGCCAAATTTGCGGTTATTACGCGATCATATACAGTACATACCTGTGAACATGTCAAGTTCAACATCAGTTCTTTCGTTAATGATGGTGGCTGAGACTCAACTACAGCTTTTTTCTGATTTGATCTGTAAGAGTAAACGTATGACGGTATGTGTGGAAAAGTGCTTGATACTCTGTGAAATAAACTCGAGCAACACTTGCTTGCTAAACATCTCCGACATTCTGTGACTTTGTGTAATTCAATTTCTTATGATGGCATTGGCCATTGCAAGTTGCATGGCCCTGGCAAGAACAGTGCTGTGTGCTAACTCAGTAACTGGAGTAGCAGCACTTGACAGCGCTTAAATAAATAACTAAAGTATATAAACAGTAAGTTTTTACAAACATTTCTTTGGATGACTCAGTCTCTTGCTCCGTTCCTGATTTGCGCTTCTTTGCACCTGAAAATCAATTATTGATTATACTAGCAGGGCTCGAATTTCCCCAGTTTGAGGACTAATCCGTACGGATTTGTTCCTTCACAAATGAGCAAATCCGCTCAAAATCTTAGTAATTCGTACAGGGTAGGCTAAATTTTACTATGAAAGAAAAAATTGCATGCAGGACAAACCGTCCTGAATAAAATACCTTAAAGTTAAACATTACTATTTTAGCGTTGGGAGCTCAGCGTTTTATTGTACAGATTTGTGAGATAGATGATTGAAATGCTGTAAACGTCAAGTTATTTTTAAGTAACCCGTATGGATTTTCTACAGGTTTCCTCATGAAATCTCTAACAAATCCGTAGGGTAATTTACCCTACGGATTACCGGATTTCCTCTGAATTTCAAGGCCTGTACTAGGTACACAAACACTGAGTATGTAATATACTCATGCCATGGTAGCCCGACCAGGCTGTGCGACCGATTGTCTATACAGGGGTCGGTTCAAGGATAGAGAACATGGGTCCCAATAAAACCAATGTCATTTACATCAATATAAATATAATGCCCAATGGTTCAAGGATAGAGAACATCATCATGGGTCCCAATAAAACCAATGTCATTTACATCAATATAAATATAATATTATATCAATATAATAGGTTAGGGTTATGGTTAGGGTTATGGTTAGGATTAGGGTTAGGATTAGGGTTAGGGTTAGAATTAGGGTTAGGGTTAGGCACATTGGTTTTAGGCAGTGGCTACGGTAGCCGTATCTTAATGTCTCGAGGCTACGGGAGTCCATTCGCTTTCATACTTAACGAGACAAAGATGGCGGCGGTGGCACCAGATTTCGAAATAACGCCTTGGGAAATAAATTCACGATTTGAGAGTTTAGATGAGCTAGAACCCTAACCCTAACCCTAACCATAACCATAACCCTAAACCTAATGCCAAAAAGGGGCTTCAACGACTGACGGCTACCGTAACTCTAGCCACTGCGTTGGTTTTATTGGGACCCATGTTCTCTATCCTTGGGCCCAGGGGTCTTCTAACCCTAGCAAGACCGTTTCTTGGAGCTATATTATATATACTATAGTATAGCATAGGGATGCTTTGTGTTTCAATTGACTAGGCGTCACGAATTTCTATGGTAAAATTTGTAAAATTTTTTTTGTCATTTTTTACATTAAAAGTAAGAACTATTCACTAACGGGACTAAAATTATCCTCAAATTCTTACCTCATACCTGATAAGATTGTTTCTCAACTAGTTAAAAATCAAAAAACCTGGACGATTTGATATTGTGACTTTTTGTGTTCCTGACATTTACATTGCTTGCATGCAATGCATTGCTTGCTATGACTATGTTACATATGTCGGTATGAGTCACGAGTGTATGTTCACATCGAACAATATTATAGTAAAATAAGAAGTATAAACTATAATCATAATGCAGCAATTTAACCACAAAAAGTGAACAGAATTATTTAGGTACCGGTATATAGTTATAACTATATTTTGTGAAAAAGGAGAAATTTTATTTTTAGGCCCTAGGTACGATGACGTAATCACTGTTTGTACAAATTATAATTGAATCACAATAGTACGCAAAGAAGCCCACCTCTCGTCTTCATATTATGTTTATCCTAGAGATCCTTCAAAATTGTACAGCCTAGTAGAAACTTTGCCAACCGTCTACGTCTGCTAAGCTCGATGCTCGAATGAGGACGATGCGGATTCACCGGAAATTTGCCGATCCATTGCTCTCTTCCAGCGCTCCCGACCTCTAGCGGAAGCGTTGCGAACAAGAATGACAAGAATCACCAAAATGGCTCCATGTTTGTGAACAACAATCCATTATTCGAGCGTCATATGTATGTAGTTATTGCGGTTAGACCTTTTTATATTAAATGTAACTTGATAAAATTTGCTATATATAGCGGTATACAGTTAATGCGTGTTGCTGTCATTCGGTTGGGTTCCTTTCTGTTACATACTCGCTCATTCTACTCGACACTTGGTGACTGTTCTGTGTTGCTGTTCCTGTTGCCTGTTGGCTTACAGTAGGCCTACAGTTACTGTAGAGTCCGAGTCACAATGATAATGTTTCATGATGGATCATCCTAATTAGACTTGTGTTATAGTTACTATTATAGTTATGGCTTAAGTAAGACATTTGATGGTTTTGGTACTAATAGTAATACCAGGAGCTAATAATAACAAAGGAGTTTGACACGTATTTGGTACTGATTTCAGTTTTTCACTACATTTTGTCAGTTAGATATGAATAAAAATACAAATGTATACAAACATGAGCTTCTTTTGTTCACTGGTCCTTATTCTATCTTCCGGTAGTACTACAAACCGCGTAGCTTACTTCGTTTTGACATAATTCGTACTTTTGCACGACATGGTTTTCACGTTAGTTACCGTCGTGTGGCGATGCAAAGCCCGAAATTCGCACACACAGCTACTTAAAGGAGGGCATGGCAGGGATTGCCTCAGGCAGCGCCAGCGGCAACTGTACGCGGGCTAGAGCTAACGGTTGCTATGCAATTAATGCAAAACACGTGCGAAAAGCAACAATCGGCTGGAGCGTCAGTTTACTCATAACGATTCATACACATCATTCCTCCGCGGGTGAAGTAGTTCAGATATTTTACCAGCGCAGCGTTTATTTAAAAAAAACTGCGGGATTCAACCATAAAAACAAGGCCTTCTAACTAGTTTAAATGTAAAATAGTTTTAATTTTCAAACCCAGCATTGGTGCAACGTAACTTAATTTCTAGGCGAATTTTCTGCACTCGACTAGGCTACGGCCGAAAAGCCCTGGCGCGCCTCCTTCAACCAGCTGTGTGTGCGAATTTCGGGCTGTGCATTGCCACACGACGGTAACTAACGTGAAAACCATGTCGTGCAAAAGTACGAATTATGTCAAAACGAAGTAAGCTACGCGGTTTGTAATACTACCGGAAGATAGAATAAGGACCAGTGAACAAAAGAAGCTCATGTTTGTATACATTTTTATTTTTATTCACATCGAACTCGTACGACAAAATGTAGTGAAATCAGTACCAAATACGTGTCAAACTCCTTTGTCATTATTAGCTCTTGGTAATACCAATGGCAATGGCAATGTACTGATTTGCCAAGTTAGGAATGTGGGGTTTTCTGACTGCCCAATTTTGGAACCTTGATCGTGTACTTGTTTTAATTTAGGAGTGGCACAATGCCAAAAAGAAGAAGATCAGTTGCAAGTTTTGGCCGTGATGATGTATCTGATGCTAGTGGCACTTCCACCACCAAGCGTAGAAGAGTACCCCAACAAGATCCAGTAAGTTTCAAATCAATAACTAAGTTGAACTACTTCTAGTAAGAAGATTTTGACCAAATATATTGCATTTTATGTTCTCTCTACTAAGTATGCTTGCGTGTAGCTCTAGTACTATAGCCCTTGTTCGCCACATGCGAATTGTGGTGCCTGTGGCAAACAAGGGCTATAATACTGCAGGGTGCGAAATTAACGTGAGTCCGGAGTCAAATACTCCCTGATTTACTGTCGGACTCCCTGATTTGACATATATGCAAGGAGTCCGTGTGACTTCCTGAAAATTCTGCCATGCTAACTAGTTCGTTCCGGAACACGGCCTCACGGAATTACTGTATTTTTTCAGCTAATGTCCAAAGAAAATTTGGCAGACATGCAACTGCATGAATCTTAAAAATAAGCACATGCGTTATTGTTAATATCTTTGATTTTGAACCTCAGACTGCGGACTCCCTCATTTTGCTGCGGACTCGCTCTTTTTGAGGGTAGGGAGTCTGTTGGACTAGGGGGTCTTGTTTCTACCCCTGATACTGGAGTTAGCTTTGATGCTGATAACACATTGTCATCTTGCAGTTATTTAATGGTTGTGTAATGTATATATATGTACATGTGATACTGTGACAATTCACAGCATGAAAGTTGAGTCCCTTATTAGATACGTTCTCCATTACAACTATTCCCAAGTTCAATTTAATTTAATTACAGAATGATGTCTGCCAAGAGCTCTTTGACATCATCAGAAACTACAAGGATGAATCTGGACGAATCATCTGTGAGACATTTATCCGTGCTCCAAATCGCAGGTTAGTCTTTGTACTGCTGTGTGGGTAACAGACTAACAGGAGTTTGTTTAAAGGAACACGAAACATCGCCACATTGTAGGTAATTGCTATGTGCTATGTTGTTCTGCTACATAACCTCAGTTTCCCTTTCTAGTTATAATTCTGCAACATCACCACAGTAATGCCGTATAAGAGATGTATCCCTCATAGATTAAATCGTCAGTGTGAGGTTTCTTGGTCTGGTTTTGCCTCTAGGTTTGTGGAAAGTCTTTAAAATCCATGCAAATATTTATGTATGGTTGCATGAATGCTCCGGACTACCACATAACTATATACGTACCTATGCTTGCAGGAATGCTCCGGACTACCACATAACTATATACGTACCTATGCTTGCAGGAATGCTCCGGACTACCGCGCAATAACCTATTAACGTACCTATGCTTGCAGAATTCTCCGGACTACCACATACTGAACTATTTACGTACCTATGCTTACAGGAATGCTTCGGACTACCACATAACTATATATGTACCTATGCTTACAGGAATGCTTCGGACTACCACATAACTATATTCGTACCTATCTTGCAGGAATGTCCGGACTACCCACATAACTAATTCGTACCTATGCTTGCAGGAATGCTCCGGACACCACATACTGAACTATTTACGTACCTATGGCTTGCAGGAATGCTCCGGACTACCACGACGTCGTCAGTTCTCCGATGGACTTCATGCGGATGCAGCAGAAGCTGAAGCTGCAGGAGTACACCGACGTCGAGCAGATGACCAACGACATCGAGCTCATGCTCAGCAACGCCAAGTCATACCACAAGGTGCGCGAAGCAATTATGCATACCATTGTTTCAATAAACCTTGACCAAGGGATCAAGGTTACCCGCAATCGCAAGGTCGACAATTGGCGTGCCGGCGTCGGTGCGAGCCGCGGTCGCTACGACGATGACATGGCCTAGATTTCGCCCGTTTGTGGTCTTAGAATATTTGTTATTTTTTTCCGATGTCGGTTCGACACGAGCAGCGGCCGCTGCGAAGTATTTTTTAATTGAGCGGAGACAACCCGCGGTGTAATGTTAGATCACACGGTCATGCAGTGATGAACAGTTGCCGTGGCAACTAGCCGTTACCTGTGAAAATCGTCTGGGGACCAGAGCAGTGGTTACAAGTCATGGTTATTTTCTTGGTTAAACGTTCCTCGGGTATCCACGAGTCAGCTCGGTCCGGGAACAATCAAACGGCATCCCGCGGATCAACGAGGTCAGCTCGTGGATAGATTATTGTGTTTGTTACTCTGATTTCCAACAGATGGCAGCCACTACCTCCGCCTAGATATTAAACGAGGGACAGTCTAATAATCTACCGCCAGTCTTACATGAACTAAAGAATAACAATGTCTTTACCGTTGATATCGAATTGTGAAATTATGAGTTTGAGATTCAAGGTAAATTCGTAAAACAGAATGGA